ACCTGGAATTAGAAGAAAGAGCTAGCCACAAGCTTCCATTGCTACCTACGCGTACCTTAACACGACCCTTATCGCAATTTATTTTAGTAGCTTGATGAATTGTTTTTCTTCCCCACTTGAGTTAACATTCTGACAAGGTAGGGACCATGTCCTCTGTACTCTCCATTGTATTCACAGTGCAAAGCACATTATAGAATTGCAATAAATATTTGTTGAATCGGTCAGTGAAATCGATGAATGAAATGCACTCTGCATGTTTGGGAAGAGTGATAGACTGCACTAGCAAGATTTGCAAGTGATATATTGATAGTAGTTGCCAAATAGTTTCATTCTATCAATTATTCAAATGGCTACCACATTGGTTTGAAATACATGAATCGAACATCATACTCGTTGCTAATAGTACAGTATTGGTGTTACAAATGGAAAATGAGGGAAACTCCTCTGTCTATAATAGGCAGGGAGTAGTTGCTATTACATGTATTTCTGGCATATAATAGCAATTTAAATGAATATTTATTAGAATAAATTAAATTTATTATCTGTATTCCATATAAGACTGTTCAAAGTATTCAAAAAAATTGAAAAATCCTTCAAGGCTAAAACATGATGGAGGATATTCTATTTAACATGTCAAAAGTCAAAATGTAACAGGCAAAAACAAATAACAATGCTAAATATTCCAAGAGACTGTCTGGCGTAAGTTTAAACTGGAAATAGGAAGAAATAGAAGGTGATGAAAATTAAAAGCAGCTCAGCACTTACTGGAGGTTTGTAGCATTTGAGAAATGTAATATAATTCCAATAGATCAGACTTTACAAGAGGAATCTACTTGGTAAGAAATTAGAATGGTAATATAATCAGGATGGGAATATATATTTGGTAGAAATGTTGTATGAAGTAATTTATAGTATTAACTAACAAAGTAAAAGCATTTGAAATGGTATAGATAGGATATCTATTAATGCTGTCATAAAAAAACAATGATACTCAGGTTTAAAATACTACTTATCTCAAGCTGGTTCCTTTCTTTGCTTAGGATAATAATTGTTTTAATTAACTCTGAATCTGAAACTAAGTGCTACAACCACAGACTTTTGTAATTTCAGGGCAACATTCACAACTCTCTGGATCAGCACAAACTGTGATCTTGGCTGATAGGTCTGTGGCATCCCCATCATGCACCAGACACCAAAGATATATAGAATTGCATGAGTTGCTTGAATGTCCTTTCAACATCTCCATTCCTTTTCACACACGGTGTCTTTCACGAGGACCACGCTTCCTCACAACAGTGTCAGGCTAATTCAGCTTACACGTCACCTCCTTGTTGGGAAACTTTGTGTGGTTCTCAATAACCACCACAGACATGGCTGCCTGCCCTCACACCCCCTACCAGTGCTTTCTTCATGAGCCGTGGTGGTGCAATGGCTAAGCGCTCGGCTGCTAACTGAAAGGCTGGAGGTTTGAACCTGCCAACTACTCCATGGGAGAAAGGTGTGGCAATCTGCTTCCGTAAAGATTACAGCCTTGGAAAACATATGGGGCTGTTCTACCCTGTCCTATAGGGTCACTGTGAGTCAGAACTGACTCGGTGGCACACAACAACAAAAACAACAACTTCGAGTTCAACATTTAATATACTATATTGTCATTTTTGTTTACTTATTTGTATTCCCTCTCAAGTATGAGATTGAGTTTCCTTATCTGTCTCGCCTGTCAATATCTATGCCTTCCGTCTTTATATACCTAGGAGCTGGTACGGTTCCTAGTCTGTAATAAGCACTGGATAAAACACTATTGAATGAATGGATTGATGAATATTTTTCCATTCATATCTGGTCAGTTTCTCTAGGAAAAAATATTAAGAATATTAAGGAGCCTTATAAAAATAATTGCTTGCCACCTTCTGTTTTGCTTCCTTTCTCATCCGGTCCCTGCCTTTTTTTGTTGGTTTGTTTCTCTCAGAAGTACTGCTACTTTGATCCCTTGATATATTATGGGATGATAAATGGTAATGAAAACAACAGTAGAAGTGAATAATAAAGGTAGAAATGAAATCTCAGGGTTCATGAAGATATACCCTAATTTAAGCTATGTTAACGCCTCTAAGTGATGTCAGCAACAGTCATATGTAGAAATGATCATTTTCTAGTTTTCCCAGTCGGACGGTATTCTGTTGAGATCTGTACGGTTTCCATTGGCTAATTTTCAGAAGGAGATTGCCAGTCCCTTCTTCCTAGTCTGCCTTAGTCTAAAAGCCCTGCTAAAACCTGTCCACCATGGGTGCTCTTCTGGTATTTGAACTTCTGGTAGTATCCAGCTTCATAGCAACGTACAAGCACCACAATATAACAAAACGTCAGTGGGGTGGAAGATGAGCCCGGTAGGTTGGAAAGCTCTCAAAGTACACAGTGGTAACAACAAGGACTCAGACATGCAGAGATCGTAAAGATGGGGCAGGACCAGGTAACAGGTCATTCTGCTGTGCATGGAGTCACTATGAGTTGGCACCAGCTTGTTGGCAACTAACAACAACGTTTCTTTGTGGAGGGATTTCCCTAGAATAACATTCAAAGGCTGTCTCCCCACTCACGACGTTCCAAAGGAAGAGTGACTTATCTGGTAGAGAATTTTAAAAAGGATGCTCAGCTCAGCCCATTTCTTTTTCTCCCTCCTCATCTGCCTACCTGCAGGAGAGAGGGTATATTCTCCGATATTCATGACAGGCTCTTATCAGTAATGAAGATGATTTTTATTTTTAATTTCCATCTGCGTGACCCCAATGTCTAGTTCACCTTTTGTTCCAAAGTCAAGTAGGAAAAAACAACATAAGTTACTGATACTAAAACCCTAAACCCTAAAAGCCAACACTAACAAAAGAGTACTATTTCCTGATAGCCATTCTCTTCACACCTACGACACATAAGGTGATTTCTCATAGGCAAACCAAACTGGGGTTACAGCAGAGATACGTGATTTCCAACGTGCTAACTTCACTTCTACATCCTTCTCTTCTTCTGAAAGCAAATGAAAATATGAGTGAAATTTTACTCAGGAATACTATCGCATATACCTTATTTTTGAAAGGTTAATTGTTCACGGACTTTAAAATTTTTCCACCATTTTTACTGTGATATTGTAAATAACAAGGAACTGGCCAGCTTTATAAATAATGCTGTATTATGATCCTAAGTGGGAAACCACTGTCCTAGAGAATCCCATAGTGCACCAGGCGAGCCAGCAGAAGTTTTTGTTCTAACAAGGAATTCTATAATGGTCTCGACCAAACGATCAAACTTGCTTGGAAGACAACACTATTAATTTTCTTTGAAAAGTTCAATGATTCTCCATCTATAATTCCAAATGCCTTTATTTAACCCAAAGATCTGTGTTCATCCAGCTGAATATAAGTAGTGTTTCTTTTTCATAATCTACACGCTATCCACAGGCTGGAAACAGAGTCATAAACATGAGAGTATTACTAGAATGATACAAAGTTCTGACAGCATTAACCCGTTGTTCTTACTGTTCAAATGCCGTCATGCAGATAATTTTCACCTCATTAATTACAGAGGTTCTCAAGAAATGCCAGAAGTGGCATTTTTATGAAAAATAAGGTTTTAGAAAATAATACCTTGTGTAATAGGATTATATAAATGTCTGATTAGTGAATGAATACACATTTATTGTGTAAGAAACTGTTATTTGGATTCAGTATTAGCTTAATCACGAGAAAGAGCAACAGCATTGTATTTGCATGGAATATTGTATAAAACAGATCACAATATGTTACTGTGGAAAACATGTCTCTGGTTTTAAGGATAGCATTGAGGTTTTATGTTTAATTTTGTGGTTGAACGACGTTGTATCGAAAATAGGGTGACCCCAATTCATAGCATCAGAGATAATTCAACCAGTAGTAGTGCCATTTTCAAAATCATTCTTAATATCTTTATAACTCTCTTCCTCTATCACAAAAGTGTAAGTTTTAGGACACCTGGATCATGCTGATATTTGGAAGAAAATAAACATTCTAGTAGCAGGTTTTTAGGATGCTTTGCCAACATGGCAGATGTAGACAGATGTTCATTTCCCCCTGCAATCTGCAACATGAAGTTCAGAGTTTCCGTTAACTTTATGAAGACTTGGAGTATTAAATAGGCATTAGAGTTATGAGAAAATGATGGACATAATAAGCTAGGCGCAAATCGTGTGGAATTAGGTGTAAAATATAACCTACTTTAACAGATACGTCATAAAACTGTATGCTACGCGGAAGTTTGAAAGCCAATCAATATGTTAAAACAAGGTATCCTCTTAACCATTTGTTTTGAGGAAGTTTATGGATCTGCAGTGTTTTGACATAGTTTTATACACTGTTCTAAATAATTATGTATGTTAAACTAGAATTTTGGAAAACTAGGCTGCTAACCAAAAGGTCAGCAGTTTTGAATCCACAAGCCACTCCTTGGAAACCCTATGGGGCAGTTCTACTCTGTCTTGTAGGGTCGCTATGAGTCGGAATTGACTTGATGGCAATGGATTTGATTTTTGGTTTTGGGTATGGAACAAATAGCAAAAAACAGAAGCGATTAAAAATCACTGTTCCAATGTTTCTTAAACTAGCTTGTAGCTAAACGTAACAAGAAGAAACACTCAGAGGAGGGCAGGGCTGAAACAGTGTAAAAAGATCATTTCGTCTTCGGGAACATTGTATCTAAAACATATGAATAAATACTTTTAGAGACAATGGGCCTCATTTGTTTGATTTCTACGAGCTCCTTTAAAATTTTCACAAAATTACTCTGCAAAGCTTGGCTTCATGCTTTGTTCACGTTCTTCTCTCAAATTATGTTAATGTTGTCGTGTTCCACCTTTGTGAAAACAGTAATGCATGCATAAAATTACATTATTTGTTTAAATGTTACTTTGATTCAAACTAAACAAAAAAAGTCACCTTTTTTAACCTGGGAATTTTAAAATTTGAATCCGTTATAATAGAAATATTTGATAAATTTCTTATCATCACTATACCCAGAGAAAACTACAGATAATTGTTTGTTGGAGGTCTTCTAGTATTTTTATACTTTTTTAAATTAAAATATATTAATTCTTCACTGATTATTTTTAGTACTTTTTGATTGCCTTAAACAATATCATTCATATTTTCCATGCCTTTAAAATATAAATTATGATATAATTTTACAATCATACCCCCACAGTTTATTTAACAACACATTGTTCGTATGAGGTGCTGTTGAGTCCATTTCGAGTCATAGCAACCCCATGTGACAGAGTAGAGCTGACCCATATGGTTTTCTAGGCTGCAATCTTTACAAGAGCAGATCACCAGATCTTTTCAGAGCCACTGTGTTGGTTCAAACCTCCGACCTTTCAGTTAGCAGCCGAGTGCTTAACTGTTGCACCACCAGGGCTTCTTATTTAACAATGTATCAGGATTCTATTATGCCATGCACCATAATTTATTGAAATATTTTCCTGTTGCTGAATATCCAGATTATTTCCAATATTTCGCTATTACAAATGACATAGGCACAGGCATTTTTTGTGATTTTGTGTCTATTTATGAGTATTTGCTTGAAAAAAAACTCCTTAGAATAGATTTGTTGAGTCAAATGGTAAAGCAAAATGGTGAGGTTTTTCATATACTTTAACAATTTGACCCCCCTGAAAAGTTGTTTCAATGAACCCACAGAGACACAAAACAGTTTCTGAAAGTTCCAATTTCCCCATGTCTTTATCAACACTGGATAGTATTATTTTTTCCTAACCTTTGAGAATTTGGTAAGTATTACCTGGTATCTTACTTTTATTGTATTTCTTTGATTACTAGTGAGATTTGTAATTCTCTCTCTGCTTAAAAACACTCTGTGTGGACAGAAGAAACCACAACAATATTTATCCTCAATGTCAAAGAAATTAACTAATATATCAATTGTCAGAATATTATATCTTTTCATCCCCGAGCCCTTAAACTCACGGTATGGGTATTGATCTTCAGCTGTGTAGATTTTAAAGCCATCCCTGAATAAACCGTAAGAAAGCCAGTGAGAATTTGGAGAGTCAGGTGGATTCCAGGAAAGATTGATAGCTGAAGAACTTTGAACTTGTCCTCTGGGTGGAGGTTGCTGGGATGGAGCTAGATTACAATGGAGAGAACATTCATTAGCCAAGGCAATCAATAAACACACAAGTAAACTGAAGATATCCAGCAAAGAGGTCTTTCTGATTCAGAATTACTTCATCAAGAAGACACGTGGTTTACCAAGACATTAATAAACAAAAAGCGTAAACAAGAGTTCTCTAAAACAGAGCTTTCATCTATGAGCATAAAACAAATGCATAGCTCAAAGCAGTTGACATAAATACAGTTGAGGGTAAAAACACAAAGGTTTGCATTAAGCACTTCTTTCTTTTTCTCCTTTTGAGAAATTATCCAACAATCTATGACATTTACTTTCTACTTAATTAGCTTAAAAGTTGATGTAAATAAGTTCCTTTGAAACTAGAAATTTAAGTAGAATAATTTTTAGATTTTTAAGAGGATGTTTTCCAACCCACTAAGCACAATGATTCTTCTTGCCTCACAGAGCACAGTGTAAAAAAAAAAGTAAAATATTTGGTGATACAAATAGCTACGGATGTTAAATAGTCTAAGTATTAGCAAGAAACAATTTTAATATACTAGGTGGATACACAGACACCTGTTTAAAGTGTTTTTAAGAGGTAATATAACTACCTCCATTAGGCGCGTAAGAACACGTAGCTCACTATTTAGAGGTATTTTGTATAGTATAAATACATAACATGAAAATACTGTCTCTTATCACTATAATTTTTTCCTTGGTCTCCCTTTTCTTGAGAGCAAGTTTTCTTTTTTTTTCAGAACACACTAAGGTGAAGGGGAAAAACAATGTCTAGCTATTTTTAAGGGCAATCAACCACCAGTTTATTCACCCTCTTCTTGCTTAATAAGATGCAATAATACTACACTCATTTAAAGAAGCCTATTCTCATCCAATTTTTTCATTTTCTCATAAGCTATGAACAGTATAGGCTACCATGTTACCTTCTTTTTTAAGTCAATAATACTTTGCAAAGAAAATTTAAATCATTTACAGAAACGGATGAATTGATGAAATAATCATCAATATTTTTATGTGAAGTATCTGCAGTTACTGGGTGACTTCCATCAGAGACTCGGAAGAAGAGAGATAAAGCACTCAAACTAGGTAACTTAGGAAGAGCTTATTAAAGGGACAGTTTTCAAAGAGGCAGGCCAAATGTAAGGAAATCAAAAGTGAAGATGCAGTACTCCAGGGTATGGTAACAGCAAAGCTCTTTTACTGTTTATGTAGAGGTTCCTCAAGACCACCCCTAAGTTCAATGATTAGCAGGAATTCACAAGACTCAGTTATACTCATGGCTAAACATTCTTACAGCAAGAATTTACAGAGCTCAACCAACAAAGGGAAAAGATGCATGGGACAAAGTGTTGGGGAAACCAGGCACGGGCTTGCAAAGGTCCACTTCCAGTGGAGTCCCAAGGACGTGCTTAATTCCCTGGCAATGAGTTGTAACAACGTGTGAAATGTTGCCAACCAGGGAAACTCAGAGTCCATGGCTTTTTCCGGAGCCTATTCACATAGGCAGCCCCTGTCTGGCACATGTCAACATTCCCAACTCCTGGAAGGGAATGGAACCATGGCTCAGCATGAACCAAATAGTTTGTACAAAAGTTTAGGCACAGTGAGCCATTCTTCTCCAAGTTCCCAGGTGCCAGGCCTGCTATGTTAACTCTTTTCTGCACGCTTCCCCAAGCCTGAAGGGACGCACAAAGGAATGTCTGCCAGAACCCAGGGACATTGAGGGCTGTATGAAGAGCATCACCTGATGGGTGCTGTGGCCCCTAGTGGGGGGATGCAGCTAGCTCAAGGCCACCCTTCTGTTTAGAGTGGGAACAGAACGTGGGATTAAATAGCCTGACTTCCCCTTCCTCTGGTGTCCCAGATGGCTGGAGGGTCCCTCCTAGGAGATGAACTCAACTGAAAGCAAGAGGGCCAGGGAGCCTGATGCTGCAGACTGTGTAGAATCTTGGGGCACAAAGCCGAGTAGAGAAGTATGGAGTAGTAAGCTGAAGATATTCTGTATACTGGGCAAAGACTAGTAACTAAACGCTACTGCTAGTTCATCAGTACTCATGAGTCATACACTTCATTTTAAAGACTATGATATAGCACAATAATTCCATTTTTTAAGAAAACTTAGTGCGAAAGTATTTCAAGAGCACTGAATTAGAAATATATAAAATCCCATATACCTGTATTATGCATAGGTTTCCTAAAGACGATGTTTCAGATCCTACAGCACATATTTACATCACATTTCTAAAGAAAAAATATTCAAGCTAGACACTTTCACTGTTCACCTTTTATTTGTTTCTTTCTTCTTTGGAATTTGCATTGTTATATTAGAGTTCCAACTGTCCATATGCCTATTTAGACACAGGACAAGTGGTAACGATCCAAGTGACACATGCAAATAGAATTACTTCCAAACAGTATCTTATATTTTTGAAATCAGGGATTCATCATATTTAATGTGGTCACTTTGATTGATAGCACACTGATTGCATTTGATCCTTTCAGTGGATTTTAATTCAGGCCTCTAAACTCTGTTATTGGAGCCGCAAGGATTCATAAAATGCCCCATTTACAGCTTTCTAAAAGAGCCTTGCAATCCATGTCAATTAAGTGTTTCTTTTCTGAATATTAATGATTATACCTAAAACTCTGCACGCTATCAGGATTACAAAAGGTTTCAGAGTTAGAGCAGTCAAAACTGACCCTTGGACTATTTTCTCAGAGAGTGAAATAGTTTTGGGATGACTAAAAGGGAGAAAATGTTTCAGTTCCATTCAAAAATTGTAGCCAGTGATTTGCATTACATGAACATTTCCTTGGCAACAACGGTTCTTCACACACATAGGCTCTTTTCAAATGTTTGAAGCTGACTGCTTGTTATGACCATCTCTAACCACAGTCTTGTCTGACTTCACAGTGTAAATAAATAGTACCTGTTTGGCATTTAAATGAGAATTTTCATAGACCTGAATTGTTAGATGGTTCAGCACCACTATGTAGTGAGTTCGAGGGGATTTGGAGGATCAAGAAAAGAAATAGGACCATGACATAGCTTTGCACCACAAGCCGTTTATTGGAGCTGATGTGTTCAAAGTCATGCAGGGTGTGGTTCCTCACGGCAGGAGCTCCTCCAGAGGCAAGCAGCACAGGGAGCCACCAGAAAGGGAAGAGTGTATGAAAAACCCAAGAGAAGAGGAGAAACTGGAGGAGGGTGGTTATATGCACCTTTCGTGATGCCCTCCTGCAGCAAGGCAGGGAGTCTGAGTCAGAGAGCTCTGAAGAACAGCAGCATCCCAGGGTCCTTACAACTACAGGGCTTTATCTTATCTAGGGCTAGCAGATGTTGGGCACAGTTCCACTGCGTATGTAAAGAAGGCAGGCTCTAAGTGGCTAAAAAATCGGCTTATTGGGGCTATTTTTAAAACACTTGGATGTATACAAGTTTGAGTTTGATGTCAGAGGACTTTTCTGGATTAACATGCCTCAACTTGCTATGAAGAAGTAAACAACTTGAGGTCAATACAGAGAGGCCATTTTTGACTTATTTGTATAACACACTCTAAGAACAAATATGAAATCCTAGGCATGAGATATCTTGAACCCAGTCATTATGTGCTCATATTAGAATTTTGAGAAATCATTCACACATTCATTCATCAAAATTTCCAAGAGTGGCCTAATAATGTGTTTAGTGCTTCTGTTCTACATTGTAGTTCATTGTGTAGTGCTTAGGGTTCTTAAAAGCTTGCAAGTGGCCAACCAAGGCATAGCAATTGGTCTCTATTTACCTGGAATAACAAAGGAAGAACGCAAGTCATGAATAGGAGGAGGATATGGAATGTGTGGCCAATTGCCTTCATGAACAACTGCTACCTTTGCCATGAGATCAGTAGAACTGGATGGTGCCCAGCTACCATTACTGAAATATTTTGATCAAAGGTTCTATAGAAGAATCCTGATAAAAAGGTGGAAAATGCAGAATAAAATTTCAAATTCTCATGGACTCCAGACTTTCTGGAGCCATGGAGGCTGGATGAACCCCTGAAACTATTGCCCTGAGATAATCTTTAAACCTTAAACCAAAAATATCCCCTGAAGTCTTCTTAAAACCAAACAATAGTTTAGCTTAACTAGTAAAAAATGTCTGTCTTGAGCATATGCTCTGCTCTGTAAACTTTCACCTAAATCATAATTTAAAAAAAAAAGTCTGTCTTGAGCATTATAATCTTTTAAGAACTGTCTTATGGGATCAAAGTGACAACAGCAACTTGGAAGATTAGACAGGAACCTTAGGTGGCAATGAGTTTATGTTAATGAGGAGGAACAACTCAGAAGAGGAGGGTGAGAATGGTGGCACAACATGAAGAATGTAACTATGTCACTTAATTGTATCTGTAGAAATGGTTGAACTGGCTTATGTTTTTCCGTGTATATTTTCAAAAACAACAACAAAATAAAAATAAAATTGCCAAGAATGGTCTTTGCACATGCCAGACTATCTTTGAAAGACCAAAAGTATCACACTGTGACTAGATCCATCTGTTTAGGAACCATGAGTTTGAATCCCAGCTTGGGCACTTTGATAGTTATGTGATTACAGTCAAATTTCTATTTGACTCGCTGAACCTTTCCCATTTATAACAAGGGGATGATCGTGTCTACTTCTCCGGATAAAATGAGGAGAAAGAGAGAAATACTGCCTGGTAAAATATCAGCATCTTTCTCTGCATCATATGCAGCAAGTTCTCAATTCTTACATCCCCAAGAATGGCAAAGGACTTCTTTGGAAGTAGGTATACATAACTAATATTTTCTAATGGGAAAATTATATTTTGTATTAATATCTTTATGGGAAAGTTATTTACATACATTTCCAGCATGGAACTCTTAAGTATAATGCTCATACGAACTATACTGGAGAGCAGATGGTTTGATAAACAGAAAAAGGAACAGAAATAGCATTGTGTAATTATACTGTAGGTTGCCTGACCGCGTG